CTATTTCAAGAGGTACTATCTTTGGGAGGAGGAATCATTGTTTCGAGTTTTCATTTCTGACTCACCCACAAGTCCACAACTTTAGCTCAAAGTTCTTCAAAACTCTGAAACTCACGATACGCTTCTTTCCTATAAGTTTGATGGCCACACCCCAAGGGAGATATATATATGCCTTCCCTGGTATTTCAGAGACAGGGATCAGAATAGCCAAAGTCAGAAAAGGGGACACTCTAGTCCTCAGGCATGAATGGCTTTTTAGAAGTTTAAGAGGCTAGTGGTCACCAGCAGCAAGAAAATGCCAGGAGTTCTCTGGACCAGTGCTTCATCCAGGGACAGGCACCCACTCTACCTGCCCCCACCCAAAGTCTATAAACAAAATGTAAAGAATGCAACACAAATCTTCACAGAGACTGGCTAACAAAATAACACTCAATCAAATGGCACCAGGGGCTACTTCACAAAGGGATCCCTTAGGGATAAAACAGTGAGCAGGGACTCACTAGGCCATCTCCCTAATACCAGCACTACTTAGGTGATCAAGTATGTCTTCTCTGGAGGCGTCCTGCTTCAACCCCGGCCCACATATCACAACTCTGTCCCTGTTCTTTTTTTTTTTTTTTTTTTTTTTGGCAGTTTGGGGGCCTCTCACTGTTGTGGCCTCGCCCGTTGCGGAGCACAGGCTCCGGACGCGCAGGCTCAGCGGCCATGGCTCACGGGCCCAGCCGCTCCGCGGCATGTGGGATCTTCCCGGACCGGGGCACGAACCCGTGTCCCCTGCATCGGCAGGCGGACTCTCAACCACTGCGCCACCGGGGAAGCCCTGTCCCTGTTCATTTTTAACCCCCTACCCCATTAGTTTTCCCCCACCTCAACCAGTGGACAGCACTCTCTACTAGAGTACACAGGCTTAAAAGCTTCTTAAAATGATGCTTTGCAATATCATATAATATCGCTTATATGTGGAATCTAGGAAAATGGTACAGATGAACTTATTTGCAAAGCAGAAATAGAGTCACAGATGTAGAGAACAAACTTCTGGTTACCGAGGGGGGAAAGTGGGGGGTGGGATGAATTGGGAGATTGGGATTGACATATATACAGTACTATGTATAAAATAGGTAACTAATGAGAACCTGCTGTATAGCACAGGGAACTCTACTCAGTGATCTGTGGTGACCTAAATGGGAAGGCAGTCTAAGAAAGAGTGGATGTATGTATACATATAACTGATTCACTTTGCTGTACAGTAGAAACTAACACCACATTGTAAAGCAACTATACTCCAATAAAAATTAATAAAATTTACCACAATTGGAATAAAAAAAATGTTGTGCTTTTTTTCCCACCTTGCCTTCTGCCACCACTGACTGTGCTTCCAATCTATTCCATAGTGCTGCTGCTCTGCCGTAAAGCAACTACCCCCCATCTTCCAACTCTTCACAGATGTACGCACCATCTCCTACCCTAACACACACCAGCTCTCCCTGACGGCCCTTCCTTCACCCTGGCAACTTCAATACCTTTGTGAATGGACCCACTCAAAACCCCTGTCTCACAACTGACTCCCTGACTTCAAGTTTACTTTTGTCACCCATGCCTATGGACAAATCTTGGACCTTGTCATTGCCTGAGACAACACATCTCAATCTTGTCCTCCAAAATCCTACTCCCTGACCACAATTTCCCTTCCTGCCTATCTCTTGGTCTTTTTACTATCCAACAGCTGCTCTTTGACCTTGGTCAGGTCACACATCCCTTGAGCCCTCCTTCTTTTTCCTAGCTTATATCAGCCCACCTTTCTGTCCTTCCAGGCAAGAATCCATGATCCATCACACCCTCAAATCCCTGGCCCCGGTCTCCTTTCACTGTACAGTCGTCCCTTGGGACGATAGGGACCCACCACAGATACCAAAATCCACGGATGCTCAAGTCTCTTACATGGCGTAGTACTTGCATATAACCTATGCATACCCTCTCATGTACTTTAAATCATCTCTAGATTACTTATACCTAATACTATGTAAGTGATATGTAAATAGTTGTAAATACAATGTGAATGTTATGTAAACAGTTGTCTGTTTACATAGCAAATGTGTGTGGCAAATTCAAGTTTTGCTTTTTGAAACTTTCTGGAAGTTTTTTCCCTAATATTTTCCATCTGTGGTTGGTTGAATCCATGGAGGCAGAACCCATGGATACAAAGGACCAAATGAAAGCCTAACTCTGGATCAATTCAATCATCAGTAATCTCTGTTCTTTCTTGAGGGCCACTAAAAATTGCTGGTTAGGAATCAGTATGTTGGGACTTCCCTGGTGGCGCAGTGGTTAAGAATCCGCCTGCCAATGCAGGGGACACGGCTTCGAGCCCTGGTCTGGGAAGGCCCCACATGCTGCGGGGCAGCTAAGCCCGTGTACCACAACTACTGAGCCTGCACTCTAGAGCCCACGAGCCACAACTACTGAGCCCGTGTGCCACAACTACTGAAGCCCATGCACTTAGAGCCCGTGCTCCTCAACAAGAGAAGGCACCACAATGAAAAGCCCATGCACCGCAACAAAGAGTAGCCCTCGTTCGCCGCAGCTAGAGAGAGCCCGCGTGCAGCAACAAAGACCCAACACAGCCAAAAATAAATAATAAAAAAATAAATTAAAAAAAAATCAATATGTCTCAACATGTCTGAAAGGTCTTTTACAGGTACATTCTGAAGCGTTTATGGATGAAATGGTATGATGCCTGGAAATGCAAAAATCCACAGGAGAAAAAGGAGGGGTAGTGGACAAGGACAGAGAAAAAAGAAGCTAGTCCAAGTGTTGATGACAGCTGAAGCTGGATGATGGATATATGGGGATTCATCTTCTATTTTCTCTACTTTTGTGTATGTTTGACATTTTCCATAATAAAACGTTCAAAAAATGAACAACCACTTAAGTTGAAGATTGATGGGGAGTAGTGCCAAAGGTCACCCACAGATTATCTGCTAGTTATAAAATAAAAGCTATAATTTCACAATGAAGAAATTTGGCTTCCCCTACCTTAAGTAGTGACCAAATTTAGCATCAATAATAGTGAGGAAACCAGACATTACATGCCTCTGATCTGCTGCACCATTTATAGTTTTTTCCCCCAAAATGCTTAACCTAAATCAATCAAGCCTCTATATCTAATTTGCAGTTTACAGAAAATACAGGGGAAAGAGGAAGAACCTAAATAACACCCCAAAGAAACAATCAGACAAATCCATAAAGTGGCAAGAAGATTTATGTTAAAAAACTTAAGAAAAAGGAATGACTAAAACTGAACTCGTCATTTCCCGCTCCACCTCTAATAAAACACACTCCCTCCTGTACTTTTTCCACAATGTTACCCACGTTTCTCCAAGTCATCCCTGACTTTTCATTCTCCTTCTTACTCTCGTCCAATCTGTCACCAAGCTGCAAATGCTACCTTCTTAATGTCATATATGCACCTCCTCCATCCCCCTGCCACTCTGACCCAGAGTTTATTACTGATTGCTGGACTTACTGCAATAATCTCCTAAAAGGATGGTTCTCCTTGTCCCCAGTTTTATTTTCTTCAAATCTACTCTGCAATTCAGCCAAAGTGATCTTGCTAGCAAATTTAACCATATTGCTCCAGTGCTCAAATTCTTTTAGCGGCTCCACCGCCCGCAGTAGTGCTTCTCAAAATGTGGTAAGGAATTGAATGGCAGGAACTCAACATCATATTACACAGAATTAAATGGCATGAAATCACAAGGTGATGGAGCCATTCACTTTGTAAATCTTTCAAACCTTCTCACTAGATTAAGAAGAAAGTCTCCACTTGCTGAGGGAGAGGGAGGGGAAAGGGGAGGGGGAACGGAGAGGGGGAGGGGGAAGGGAGAGGGAGAAGGGGAGGGAGGGAGAGGAGACGTTCATAGGCAGCAGTATCTGGCAAAATTTTTTCAACATTTTTTGCTTTCCTTGTATTTACTTTAAAACTTATCTTCTGTGTATAGCAAGTTATATTGATTTTCCACTTTAAGAAAGTGAGACAATGTTTCCTTTTAAAATAAATTTAAGTTTGAAAGTTAGCTGACTTAAATAGATAAATAATAGTTCAGAGAGGCCATGATAATATTGTGAAGATGGTAGGCAATGAAAATTTAGTCTGCGGAAAACTGCCCTACAGTTTTAAAATTTAAATTAATCTGTGTGATTGTGGTGAAGGGCCTCTGTAAGTACCTCAAGGAACAGAATGTGGCCTGTGTGAAGGTGCTTACCTTCCCAGGCTAGGTCAGATGGGGCCAGCAACCTCTAGAGGCGCCGGCTTCCCAGTCCTGAGCCACCATGCTGGAGGGGCCACAGGGAGCAATGACGGGAAGGGGGGTAGTAGGAGCCAGAGAGCTGAGGGGCCCCAGCTGCTTGAGCTTCCCCCGCTCAGGCACCGCACGTGGGAGTGACTGGTTCTTCTGATGAGTCCAGCCCAGCCACCTTCTGAAAAAAAGGACGTGAGAAGAGCCCAAGCAAGACCCCCAAAACCATGAGATGATAATAAAATTATTGCTTAAACATGCACAATGTTTTGGGGTGACTTGGTACGCAGAACAATGGTAGATCCTGCCTTACAAGAGCTATTCCGACACCTGTCTCTACAGTCTCATCTTAATGCTGCTCTCTCTGTCCTACTATGCACAGAAAAAATGACCAATTAGTAGTTATGTGCACATAACTTTGCACACACTGCTTCACTCTTCTCTGTCTCTGCATATGCTAATCCCTCTACCTGGAATGCCCCTCCTTGCCTTGTCCATTTCAAAAACAACGATTCATAGTGGCCAAAAGGTACAAACTAAAAAAAAAAAAAAAATCCATTAATACTTCAAAATCTGAACCAGCACTATTCCCTCTGTGCAACTTTGCCCTTATCTTTCTCACTGTCTTCCCACCAGTGACTGAATTAATCCTTTCCTCCCCGTGCCACTGGGATAGTGGCATAATTCTCACAGTAGTGTACTGACCTTGTATATGTCTTGTCCAGTAAACAGCTATTTAGTTCCTTAGGGGTAGGGATTGTACGTCGGTATACAGCTGGTCCTCCAGGGTCTAATGAGTGTTTTGCTGATCTGAAGTAGTCTCTCCTTCTGCTTCCGTATTTGTCTACTTCCACTAAAAACACTTCCATCTAAGCTTCTGGCTGACAAGAGCAGAGATGACGCCAGGTCAATGCTGTTCTCTCCTTGGCCTCTCACACCCTGACTTCCGGTTCCAGGATTTTACTTACTCTGACCTTGAATAAGGCTTTCTTTTCTGGGTTCATGACCCTTAGAAGCAGCAAGCCTAGGCTGCTAAAAGCTGTCTTTTAAAACACAATTGGGGGGACCTATTAGTTGAGTACCTGGGACATAAGTGGGTCCTCAATAAACATTATTCCTCTTCCTTCTCTCACTTCAAAAATCTTCCTTAATCTGTCTTCTAGCAGCCAAGTTTCTTCATACTTTTTCCAGCAGCTCCCCTCCCATAGTCACACCCTCCCTGGGTCTTAAAATCCCTTCAGACTTGGCCCCTGAATCTCCTCAGCACCAAACTGCACTTATTTAACAGGCAATTGCCACCCTGCTCCCACCTCAGCTAGGCTGAGCTCATCACACCAGGTATAATTCAAGAGAGAGGCTTTTATGTCACCATCCAGGTCTAGTGTGTCAAATTCAATCGCGTATAGGATTCACTGTCAAATTTTCAGAAGGGGAGTGATGCAATTATTCCAAAACATTATGAAAAGGAATCTGGCTGTGTTGCGTAAGAATAATAGAAAACAAACAAACAAAAAAACAGGATTGGGAATCAGAACACCTGGGTACAATTTCTTCATCTGAATCTCTCATTAAAGGCTTTTTTTTTTTTTTGTAAACTGAATCAGAAATGTTCCTCTATAAAAGTTGCAGAAAATGTTTTCAATGGTTATGGTACACAATAAATAAGAAATATAAGAATTTGAATATAGGTAGCCTCACTCACTAAAAACACTAAAGTGAACAGAAATTTACAAATAGGAAAAAAGGTTATTTTAGGTTTTTTATCAATAAAAGTTAATTCCTACTTCACCCTACTACAAACTTAATTACAGTCTAAATGTAAAAACTGGAACCATAAAAACACTAGAAAAAAATTAATGAATGATTTTTATAATTCTAATGAGTGAATAAAATTTTTCAAAGCATGACACAAAATTCAACTCAAAAGCCATGAAGGGGGGAAAAAAAGCCATGAAGGAAAATATCATACATTGACCTACATAAAAATTTAAAACATGTGAAAGGCAAATAATTAGCACAAAGTCTAAAATTAAAATAAAACAAACTGAGGGGAAAAATACCAGCAATACATATGGCAAAGAGTTCTAATGTAATATGTATGTAAAAGCTCTTACAAATCTACAAGAAAAAACAATGATCAAATACAAAACCGAACAAAGTATTTGAACAGAAAATTCACATAAGAATAAGCACAATTGCCAGTGAGCATAAAAGGTATTCAATCTCACTAATAATTAAAGAAATCCTAAATAAAGCAACAATAAGAAAGCCTTTTTCACCTATCAGGTTGGCAAAGATTGAAACACTCTGTAACGCTCATGTTGGCAAAGGTGTGGTGGAAACAGGCATCATAATATACTTTTTCTTTTTTTTTTAATTTATTTTTGGCTGCATTGGGTCTTTGTTGCTGCGTGCGGGCTTGCGGTGGCTTCTCTTGTTGTGGAGCACAAGCTCTAGGCCCGCAGGCTTCAGTAGTTGTAGCACACGGGCTCAGCAGTTGTGGCTTGCGGGCTCTAGAGCACAGGCTCAGTAGTTGTGGCGCACAGGCTTAGTTGCCCCACGGCATGTGGGATCTTCCCAGACCAGGGCTCGAAGCTGTGTCCCCTGCATTGGCAGGCGGATTCTTAACCACTGCGCCACCAGGGAAGCCCTTCCATAATATACTTTTTTTTTTTTTTTTGCGGTACGCGGGCCTCTCACTGTTGTGGCCTCTCCCATTGCGGAGCACAGGCTCCGGACGCGCAGGCTCAACGGCCATGGCTCACGGGCCCAGCCGCTCTGCGGCATGTGGGATCTTCCCGGACCGGTGCACGAACCCGTGTCCCCTGCATCGGCAGGCAGACTCTCAACCACTGCGCCACCAGGGAAGCCCCATAATATACTTTTGATGAGAACTAAATTGATGCTACTTCTTTGGAAAGAAGTTTGACAATATTTACTAACATTTTAAAGGAGCATAAGCTTTAATCAGCAGATCTTCCCTTCTAGGAATTTTGCCTAAGGTAATACAAGTACTCAAACGCTTGGGCAAAGACAGCTATATACCGCTGTTTATTGCAGCACTGTTTATAATAGGAAAAACTGGAAATAACTCAAATGTCCATCAATAGAGGTTTGGTTAAATAAATTATGATACATCCACCTGAAGAAACAGAGTGCTGCTGTTAAAACTAATGTACTGACATGGAAAAACAGCCTAGGTAAATTATCAAGAGAAGAAATTTCAACCATTTTTTTTACTGTGTTAAAATACATATAAAATTTGACATTTTAAGCATTTTTAAGTTTAAAATTCAGTGGCATTAATTACATTCACAATGTTGTGTGACCATCACCACTATTTCCAAACCTCTTTCACTCTCCCAAACAGAAACACTGTAACCACTAAGCAAGAGCTCCCAATTCTCCCCTCTCCCCAGGCTCCTGATAACCTCTACTCTACTTTCTGTCCCTATCAATTTGCCTATTATAGACATTTCATGTAAGCAGAATCACACAATATTTGTCCTATTATGTCTGATTTATTTCACTTAGCACAATGGTTTAAAGGTTCATCCCTGTTGTAGCATGTATCAGAATTTCATCCCTTTTATGGCTAATATTCCATTGTACATATACACCACATCTTCGTTCATTCATTCATGGATGAACACTTGGGTTGTTTCCACCTGTGGGACAGTGAATAATGCTGCTATGAACACTGGCATAAAGTACCTGAGTTCCTGTTTTCACTTCTGTTGGGTTTACACCTGGGAGTGGAATTGCTGGGTCATAATGGCAAGTTTTAGCTTTTTGAGGAACCAAAAGAATTCAGTCCCCCAACAACTGCACCACTTACATTCCCACCAGCAATGTATAAGGGTTCTAAATTCCTCCACACTGTCGCCAATGCTTTTTTTTCCTTTTCTTTTCTTTTATTAGAGTATAATCATTTTTTGTAAAAATAAAGTCAATGTATATACAAATGCATTGTAAGAAAAAAATCCATTGTTACACAACTGTTAACAATGATTATATTTCTGGGGCATGGGTTTACAGGATAGGTTCCTATTCAGACTTATATATTTTTCTATTTTGTAAAAGTTTTTAGGACAAATGTATTGCTTTTGTTACAAAAAAAAGAAAAGGAAAACAATCTTAAACAAAAATTAGCCTGAGACAGTTTCATGCGTGCTTGCTAGTCTGAAACTGTAACACCTCACAGTTCTTGTGTTGTGTATACAGCAATGCCCTGAATCAGCAGCAGTGAAAAGATCTGAGTCCAGTCCTAGCTCTGCCACCCTGGGCACTCAGTTTTCTCACCGCTATGCTCTAATGCACCTAGGACCGGATCAGAGTTCCCAATCAGTATGCCAAGGATGGGTTACAGCTGTGCAGACTCCATCAACCCCTGGGGTAGCACCAGAGCTCAGGGTTACCAGCAGCCTCCTCCTTTTATCCCAGTGCACCTTACAAAAATCATCATTTTCTGTGGGTGCAGGGATATGAAAAAGGTTGGGCAGAGGTAAATCAGGTAACCTTTAATATCCCTTCCCACACTGAAGCAGAATTCTGGACTAACGACGGTAACTAAGAAAAGAAGAGCCCTGGGGCAAATCTAAGAGTCACTGACCACGAAGGAGAGATGAAGATCCTCCCTCAAGGGGAGAAGCAAGCACAGGGAGTCAAGAAATGAGAACTCCACGGAAGAGAAGGCAGCTTGTATCTAATAAGTCTAATGTCTCACCTGAAGTCACAGGTCCTTGAGGAGATAGCCAGGGGCAGTGCCTGGAGCCATGCTGCTCTGGGAGAAGCATCCCGAAGTTACCTGCTTGGGCAGCAGACAAGCAAAAAACCTGACCTCTGTGGGAAGAGGCACTGAGGCCTGGCTAGGTGAAAGCCAAGTGAAATCCCCTGTCCAGGTGTTCTCAGCCTATCAGCTGCCAACTGTGGACTTTGCCCTTGAAATTCAACTCCCGGGCTAAAGAGATAATCTCCCAGGCATGTCCTGTGTAAACTTGGCTAATCAACAGAACACACTCAACGCTGAGCCTGCGTGCAGTCCCCGAAACAGTCCTGCCAACCAGGTAGCTGTGCTGAAGGGCAGGGGAGAGCTTATCCTGCCATTAAGGTCACCTATCCGAAAAGAATCACGTGCCCAGGACAGGCATTTTCCAAAAAACAGTCAACAGCTGTTTAGAGACAAGCACACAGCTGAAAACCTCATGCAGAGGTGACAGGAATATTGTGAGAAGAGTCCTAGGGACAGAGGGCACGAACCTTGACCAGGCTTTGTTGATGTGATGGGGTTAGTGACCCAAGAGATTCTAAAGTGTAGACATGAAATTCTAAGTGAATGAAGAAGGCACACCAGTTAACATCTGGCCCTCTCACCCTCACTTGAACCTCAGCTGCTGAGCCTGTTAAGCAGTGGTTCCTAACCTCCAGCAGCCGCAGCAGCAACTTAGAAACCTGTTGAAAATGCAAATTCTCAGGCCCCACTTCAGACCTACTGAACTAGAAACAAGATTTCCAGGTGAGCTGGGGGCAGCTCACGTCTGAACACCACTGCTCTAAGGCCCTAGAGAGCTCTGTCATCTGGAGCACAGACCCTCCCTCCCCACCATCCAGACTTCCCTTACAGTCTGCTTTAAATGAATTTTGGGGAACTGGAATATTACCTCTCTAGTTACACCCAATAAGACAGACAAGTTTCTTCCCACTCCAATTCTATCTTCCACATGGTCTCATAGGTTTCTTTTCTACCAACTAAACCCAGTTGTGTTCCTTTCCTGCTTTCAGAAGAACAACGATTCCCCAATTCCTGGGGGGTTCAAACACTTCAAGTTCTGACCTCCACCAATCTTTTCGGCCTCCCGCTAGCTCATCTGTGTGTCGCTGCTCATGGTAGGTGCGGGCTCAGTGAAGAGGTGCTGGAGATAAAAGCATTCTCTCAAGGAGTCTTTCCTAACCACAGAGCTTTTCCTTCAGAAGCAAAGTAGTTACTAAAACAGACAGGGATAGGGGAAACAGGAAAGCAGAATCCCATTACTTAAAAAAGAAATTCCTCTATGTGTCAGGAATCCATGTTACATCTGAAATTCAATCTCACCCTGCTCTGCCCTTCACAAACTATTCCATCTAGCTGGTGAACCAGGCTGAACACAGATCTCATGAACACCAAGGACTGAAAGTTTATAAACACCCTATACATTTTCATTTCAGAATCCTCACCCTTGATTTATAGAATCCACAACAGGATCAGTCCCTTGAAAAAGAAGTGTCTACCAACAGAAACTAGTCAATGTTCAATTCCCAGCAAGTGAAAGTTATGGCCTAACAAATTTCTTTCCTCAAACATTGCCAGCAAACTTGAAGACTCTAAAAGAGACCTGTGGGGCTTCCCTGGTGGCGCAGCGGTTGAGGGTCCGCCTGCCGATGCAGGGGACGCGGGTTTGTGCCCCGGTCTGGGAGGATCCCGCGTGCCACGGAGCAGCTGGGCCCGTGAGCTGTGGCCGCTGGGCCTGTGCGTCTGGGGCCTGTGCTCCGCGACGGGAGAGGCCACAGCAGTGAGAGGCCCGCGTACCGCAAAAAAAAAAAAAAAGAGAGACCTGTGAACTAGAAAATCAGAGTTTACTTACAAATGCTAGTTTACTGACAAATTACTTAAATTTTCCAAAACCAAATTCCATCTTCTTACTACAAAATAGGGGGGATCATAATAGGACATCTAATGAGCTACTTGTGGAGTACTGATCAGAAAGATCACTCTTCCTACCCAGGTAAAGAGAGGTGATTCAGGCTGTTTCCAAGTCTTGTCACACACCCCACCCTCTCCAGGTTTTGATATGCACTGGTAGTCTCAATATTTAACCTGGTACTCCTTTCAGAAAAAGATGGAAAAAAAAACCTCACTCAACCCCACAAATATCCAAAATCTATCCTAGCTTCCAATGGACAGAAAGGAGAACATGACAGTAAACAACACTTAACAATTCAGGAAAAAAATGCTCATTAACTATTTTGGATAACTAAGAGGAGGTGGCATCAATCAGAGTGGGGATATAGAAAGAGCACATGCTTTGGAATCATACAGACTTAGATTTGGATTTTAACCAAGTTAGCCAGTCTGAGTTCCTCAGCTGTAGACAGGAGAATATCAACAAGTTCGTTCATGGATTGTTGTGAGAATTTGCTAAAATGATGCAAGTGAAAACGCCTAGTAAAACACAATGTCTAGAATAGAGTAAGCATTCATTCTACTAATGATATACCACAAATCTAAAATCTACAGAAATTTTTAAAACACATATTGATCCCAAGAATTATGCAGAATTGAATTATATTTATTCAACTTCCTTTAGCTAATCATTTATGTGTCTATCCCCACTCCAGCTCCCTTTTATTTCCCCATATTTTGACACTTTATCCC